CCCCCCCCCCCCCCGCCTGTTTGAGATCCGCTTCGCTGATAGTCTCCGCGTGACAATGACTCACCATGTAGATCAGCATACGTAGCAACTTCCACACCCCTGGCATCCTGGAGGTCCCAGCCTCTCACGACGAAACACGCTGCTCCTGCAAAGACAAACGTTGACCTCGCCATTAGTCCGCGTTAATTTCAACGTCAGCTGCGCGCTCCCGCGCGCGAGCGAGCGCACGCTGTTACGCGGCCGAAGCCGGATCTATTTTAATTTATCCGACCACCATGGTCTAGCGAGCAAATTAACCGGCCGCCGTCGGCCAAGTTGCGCTTCGAGTCCCAAGGAGGTCTCGAGCGCAAAATTGATTCGCCAGGAGAAATCATGGTTACGGAGTTTCGAGTACGCGCGAGCCGGCCGCGAAATCAGGATACGTGGCGCGGCGCGAAATTGCGGTGAGAGAGAAAGAGAGAGAGAGAGAGAGAGATAGAGAGAGAGAGAGAGAGAAAGATAGTAACAGCCTCCTGTCAAAAATTGGAGCGGACGATAGAGCGGAGATATCGTGCGTGTTCGCCTATACGATGTCAGAAACAGAGCGATGACAGGCGGATAATAGAGTCCTAGATGTAAGTCAGCGAAAAATTTCCTATATAATATATAGGAATCAGGCAGCATTATATATATATATAATTATGTATACACAGTTGTATATAAATTATATATATTATATATAATTACATAATGAATTATATATAATTTTATATATCTCTATATGTTTTTATGTAATTATATATGATTATATATGAAACAATTTTTACTGGGAAATAGAGAAGATTCATTGAAAAAATTAGTTTGATTAACTATCTGAATCACATGACCTAAGCATTATTTTGCTTAGCGACCGCGACTAAGGACTGTGGCAGAAAAACGTAAGCAGTAAAAGACTTAAGCAGTAAGAAAATTGACCAATCACAGTCGATTGTTCTCTTTACAATCGAAGAACAATCGACTGTGATTAATCAATTTTCTTACTGCATACGTTCTTTTCGGTGATCCTAAGGGCCGGTAAGTTATAATATTCTTATATATTTTTCGTACATCATTCCTCCCTGATTCGAACTCGAAATTATCGAAGTCAATGTTGCCTCTTTTTCGCGATGCTAATTGGCTGGCCCGAAATCTCGATCTCGATGCAAATCGTTGCTTACTTTGATTGATGCGGCTGTCATCGTGTAGTTTACACGTTTCGTTCGTAACGGAGATATTATTTTCTCGTAAATGAATTTTAATCTGTTGTCTATTTAATTACACGAACTGAGATTTATTTTCGTGTAACAGTAATTAGCTAAACAGCGCGTGCGTAGCGCGCTGTTTTCGTCTAGTTTTGTTATGTCATTTTCGTATATCATTACTAAATAAAATTTCTTCTCGATAATACCAGGTTATAATGATAATCTACAAATTATGGGAAGAGAGTATTCTTACTTCAACTAATTATAGAGGTTGTTACACTAATTATAAGAGACTAATTATGAGAGGCTAATCTTTCGACAGCTATTTATTCTTCCTCATTCATCGCTCGTCTCTAGTAGAGAGTCTCAGATGCAAATAGAGAAGTGCAATATTGAATTCGGATATATCGGAAGTCCGCTATTTTCTTTACATGGTGATACTTGGAGTAAGCCAGTAAAGAAGTGAACGAAGGAAAATGAATAAGGGGAGAAGTTAGGTTGCAAGAGATTAATTTTAATAATTAATCCAAGTAAAAATACTCTCCCTGTAATTTGCAGCTATTCGTTATACCACGGTACATCGTCAGAAGAATTTTATTGAATCATGATATATTGAAAATATTATCTATTAAAAATAAATATATATTCGAAATATTATATTTGAAAAAAGTTAAATATTATATTAAAATATTATATATTAAAAAAGTTTCTTTATTTAAATATTATATATTTAAATATAGTTTAATATAAATAATATTAAAAGCATATAATAAAACTATTATAACCTACCGTGGTAGGCAAAGAAAATAACGTTTAGGTCATATGATTCAGACAATCGAAACTGACTTCCTAGATTTTCTATATTTATATCTAGGCCTTTAAATAATAGATAATGCGCTCTTGTGGTGTGTATATATATATGTATGTGCACGCGCACGCATTTTGAATAGACAGACATTCAGCATCGAATCGATATTAATTTCTCGCTTATCTTTAGCGTGCGTGCGCGCGCGCGTACTGCTACATGTGGCGTTTGTACCGCTTAGAATTAGCCTCGAGATTAGCCGAGCGACGGAATCTCCTGACGGATATTGATAGTTATAACGGTACGTCTCTGTAAAGATGGCCTAATCCTAATGTATAGCCCGTGTAATCGACCCGGAGATGACGGATGCAATGAATGTTCAATAGCGCGTCGCTTAATGCGCATCGCACGCATCGTCCGCATTTGTGCCGCGCGTAGAATCAGACGCCGATAGACGGTAATAATTATTGTCGCAGACGATATCGCGCGAAAGCTGAGATCGTCACTTCATCATCCGGCGTATTTTTAATCTTGTTAATGTTTACGACCGGCTACTCGATCTCTCGTCTCGAGAACGCAGATGTAACAACCGTGGCGACACTATTCATGTCAACTGTGAATTATCATACTGACGTGCTTTCCGCACTTTTCTCACGCACGAGTGTCTCGGGAAATTCATCGTAAACCGCTTCTTTTTCGGGGCTCGTTGGACAACACTGAAAATCTTATTCGATTCGAAAGTTTTTTTTTTTTAACTTTAACTTGAATTTTCATTTTAATTATAAAATTAATTTCAACGTTAATTTGCAAGGTGAAACGTCAGGAGAGTCGAAATATTGATCTACGTTAATCCTATAAATTTGATCGAACTTGAAATATTAATGAAGAATCTCAAGATGTAATACTACATAATCTATTGTTTTCTGTTGACAGAAATAGTAATTTAATGCCGTTTTACTGAAGATTAAATTAATTTGGGGAATATTAATTTTAGAATATAATATACGGAAGATTAATTAATATTTGTAGAATATATTTAAGAATGTCTCTCAGGGCGGGAAATTTGACTCGTGAGTGACGAAAAATGTCGTCTCCTTCCGACGAAAAAAAAAAAACGATTCGAGTTCATCGAGTCACGTTCGATTCAACCTAACGTTTTTTTCTTCACGCGACGACAAAATCTCGAGTCGGCAGTGCCGACGGAACGAAACGCGCGTGGTGCACGGAGAAAGATTCTCCGAGACGACCTAATATTAACGATCTCTGTCTGGCCGCTTTATCTGGAGCAACAACGCGTAAAAGGGCTGCTGCGGCTGTTATAACGGTGCGTCAGCATAAAGACGCGGAGCGCGCGCGCGTAATTGATCCATGGATGACAGATGCGGCACGAGAGCGGCGCGCGCGGCGGGATCGTTGAATGCTGCCGAGAGTATCGCCGCGTAATCGCAGTCACGATTGCAACGGACATAAAGATAACCCCCGCAGTCACGAATGGAAAATAGTGTCGCGCATGGAGAGCGGCGGTAACGCGCGATCCCCTTGTTTTACACGTCGTTCGCGCGTTTATACGCGGCCGTTAATCGCGCCGCTTCCAGCCGAACGCAAAACAGCCCACGCGATTCCGGTCAGCTCGTTACTCTCGTCGACGACGAAAGAAGAGCGTCGGGAACGCTCGCAGGAGAGCTTCGCGATAGAGATAGCAGCTTCCACAAAGAGGCGTGCCGGCAGTTTTTCACCGGCCGAGCCGTTTTTTACCGGCTCGATATGCTCGTACGTTACGTAGGCATTGAATAAAGAATACCGGGACGGAGCGTGTTGCGATGTAATGGCGGGACAAGATCGACAAGCAGGACGAAATCGAAATCGGTTCAGTTTAGGGACGTCATCGGTGATTAGTTCCGGAAGCAGGTGTCCGGCGGTATATTTTCTTGAACGTCTTGCAATAATTTACTAAAACACACTTTAGTACTTATGTAAAAATTCTTGATATATATTTTATATGCACGCATATGTTAACGTGTGGCGAGATTTTGCAATATTATAACATGTACTACGTTGGCTGCACTCGGCAGGCACGTTTATTTCACAATTATTCCAAGTTATTTGTGCCGAAAAAATTGGATTATTCTTCTTAAATCTAAAGCAATAATCCAATCGAGTCGCGCTTAGGAAACTTCCGACAGTTCCAGAGTAAACGTTGCGTGGTGATTATACATGAAAATATCCGTTAATACAATCTTCTTTCTTCAACACGTTTCTTTCCGAATCATCTGTCCGATCGATCGGCAACGTGATGTCATAAAACTCGCTCCGATTCGACAGTATCGATAGCCGGCATTTGGTTTACTTTTGGTTTACGTCGCGCATCCTTGGCACCTCCAACGAAGGATTTTCTCTTTGTGCTCCTTCCCGGTTTCTTCTTCAATTCTTTATTCAACGTTACACACGCAACAACGTTGCATTCGCCAGCGATATCGGCGCGCTCGTCAAGTATCATCTCGTACATCATCTCGTTTATGAGGCACGATATTAGCCGGCGTAAAAAGAGATCCTCATGTCTTCCTTTTCCGTCCTACTTGACAGTTCGCCGAGCGGCTGAGAAGCCGCGCTAATGAATCCGTAAGCGCGGATGGTTACCGGTGGGCTTCTTAGAGAGCCGGCTCTCTCTAATAATGCGCACACGCTCGTAAAATTACGACCAGTCTAACCGGTGCTTTCATTTGCCACAATGTGGCGCGAAACGATCCGTATCGTCCGGAGCCGAAATGGAACGGAGGGGCTGAAGATTATCCGCGGACCGGTTGATCATCGATGATACACACTGCTCGTAGAGCTTCAGGTGATATTTATCGCTGCTCCAAGGCGAAGAGAAAGAACGCACGGCTTATTAAATGCACTAACGATGAGACTCGTTAATAACAAGCCGACTGTGTGCACGATTAATAACAGCGATGATCGCTGCGCGTTCTTTTCCGTTGATTGTACGAGGGCTTAATTGATGTTTGAATTACTAAGGATTACCGTGAATAAATGTAATACGAGACGCCGTATCTTTCGTTTCTCGTCTTTTCGGCTCTCCGCTTAGGCAGTCC